AACTGGAAACACAGGGAATCCAGGACAGATGATACCTTCAGGACCAGTGTTGAGAGAAGCGATACTGGGAGGGTCGAGGGAGGGTAGGGTAGAAAGGTGGGAACCTATTACAAGGATCGACATATAACCTCATCCCTGGGGGATGAACAACAGAAAAGTGGGTGAAGGCAGACGTTGTACAGTGTAAGATATAACAAAATAATAATTTATAAATTATCAAGGGTTCATGAAGGAGGGGGAATGGGAGGGAGGGGTAAAAATGAGGAGCTGATGCCAGGGGCTTGAGTGGAGAGCAGGTGTTTTGGGAATGATGAGGGCAATGAATGCACAAGTATGCTTTACACAATTGATGTATGTATGGATTGTAATGAGTTGTATGAGTCCCTAATAAAACAATTTTTTTTTAAAAAGACATGGTGGGTTCACAAATAATAATAATAATAATAATAATAATAATCTTAATTGTGTTACAGGGATGGGACTGTTACAGGGATGTGCTGTGTCAACAATAAATGAATAAACAGTGTCTCCCATTGAGGATAATCATAATCATTTTTGGAAAGGGTTGTTTGTTTGTTTGTTTTTTAAATTTAAGCTAAGAAGGACCATAGAAATAAAGTAGAAAAATAAGCATGTTAGAAAACAAAATATATAGCATTTGTTAATTCACATCAAAAATTTTTTTAAAACTTAAAAGGTATCACCTTTGCCAAATATAATCAATAAAAAGGAGACAATGCCCATTAGATAAAGTATGGGTGTTAAAGTGAACAGAACAACAGCTACTGAAGAAAACTTCAAACCATGTGCAATAACTAAGCTGGCACCACCAACCCCAATACCTCACTGCCATTCAGTTGATTTTGACTCACATCCACCATACAGGACAGTAGTACTTCCCCAGTGGGTTTCTGAGACTGTGACTCTTCATGGGAGTAGAAAGCCTCCTCTTTCTCCTGTGGAGCCAAATCTCCCTGGTATTTAGAATACAGGTACGAAGCAGAGCTCAGAGGGAGAACTAATGCATAAATTGGGTCCACCCTTTGATATAGGAGCCATGGACATTGTGTGTGAGCTTGGCTGGTACCTGAAAGGTTGGCAACTCAAACCTACCCAGTGGCACCTAGGATGAAAGGCCTGGCGATCTCCTTTCCAAAATTCTACCCCTTGGAAGCCATGTGGAGCACCATTCTATTCTGACAACACAGGGAGTTAGTTCCGTGAGTTGACCTCACAGCAATTGGATTTTGGATTCTTCCAGACAACTGCCTCTCAGGACTCATCAAGCAAATAGTAAATCCAAAATAAACCGTCTGAAAAGGCCCATAACCATGCAGGAAACAGGGCAACCATCTCAAGGGAAATTGGCTCCCTGGCTTCAAAAAGGCCCTGGGCTCTGATGATTCTAAGGCTGGATTTGTTCAAACCTTCAAGACCGAAGAACATGAAGTCATCAATGTGGAAGTTTGAAAGCAGAAATAGGAAAGGCGTGGTGATGCATTTTAGAAACCTTAATTAGAAACACAATTCCTAGAAGTCAGAAATGGATTTTCAGTCCCCATGATTCTGAGGCAACCTGTCCTGGGCCAGTATTTGGGGAGTACTGAATACAAGCATAGGAGGTCTGGAGGAGAGGGCGGGGTTAGTGGATTTTGCATTGGGCTGCTAACTGCAAAGTCTGCAGTAAGAAACCACCAGCCTTGAGAGGCAGACAGGGCTTTCTACTCCCATAAAGAGTTGTAGTCTTGGAAACTCACAGGGACAGTTCTATGAGTCTTCACTACCTCGAAGGCAGCGAAGGTGGGAGAATAGAGGTTTCATGTAAAAACCACCATTAAGGCAACAAGGGGCAGGGCCACAGTTACATTCTCACAAGTCACCGGCCAGTGAGGGTGTATTCTAAAAAAAAACCCACACACGTCCATGGCCCAGGAGTTCACTCTTGTGACTCATAGTTGCCACGGCTGGAAATCTTGAATCCCTGCCCCACAACACTCGGAGCGGCTGGGGGGTCGGGGGTGGGGCTGGGGGTGGGCGCGGGATTGAACTGTTCATATTTCTTTTAGCGGCCTAGGGTTTGAACCACTGTACAAATCCTCAAAACTTTGGGAGTCCATGGGTGGCTAATGTGCTCGGAAGAAACATCTGGTGAACTACTTCCAAACAATTACCCTCTGAAAATCCCATGGAGCCAGTTCTACTCTGACTGACACTCAGGGTGGGTGGGGGCGGCCAGTCAGGACCACTTAACCAGACGGGTTTTATTAAGAACTTGAACACTTTTTATAAATGTGGATACCTGTGGAAGCGGGAGCCCTGTAGCGGGACTGCTGCTGGAACTTTCCAGGAGCCCCCAGAGGTCAAGATCAGACCTGGGAGGAGAGGGTACATGCCAGTTGCGATGCTCTGGCAGAACTGGTTCAGGGAACTGCCGGAAGAAGTTGGAGGCCGGCCCTAGGGGGCGGTACCAGAGCATCAGCGAGCCTATTAGAAGGCCGGCCCTTCTCCGCGCTTCCTTCTGGCATCCTTCTCCAGCGACCCCTGCTGGCTGACTCGAGTTGGACACAAGCTCGCTAAAGAGAACTGTGCTTTGTGGAATCCCACGTGCAGAAGAGTAGCTGAGCGGTGGATTTAGAGCTAGCAGTCAACAGCTTAAAAACTGACACCACCTTCGATCTCTTTATAAAATGCCCACGAGTGTACAAAATATGCCGGATATTTCAAAAATCAGAGACTGGATTCCAAAATTCTCCAAAGACAGATCTTAAACTCCCCTGCAACAGGTTATGTTCCTTTTAGCAGAAGTCAGCAGGATTGTGTTTCATTGTTATTTTATTACTTACTTTTAATAATGATTTTGTGATGGACCTGACTTGGATATTTTGAGGCCACAGATATGTCACCCCCAATAATTTTCTCTTCTTCATTTTTCCATATAAAAGGTATATCGCTTCCCCTCTAAGGAGCACTGCTTATCAGCCAGTTAGAAAAGCTTGAACCTCAGAGCATCTGTGTTATAGAACCTCGACAATGTAACCTGACATAAATGCAAGACTCTCAGGCGGCTCTCAGCTACAATTACAAATGGAAAGCAGTAAGGTGATGTTGACATCATCCTATTATGATCAGCTGCTCTGGACTGAACCCAAAGAACAAAGGGTTCGCACAATTTGTGGTGCAGAACATTTATTATGGGAGCAGGCTTCATGCAAGCTAATTCACTTTTGACAGAGGATGTGTAAAAATCTGAAAGCACTTAGCTACTTATGGCTTGAGCAACGGGTGTAATTTTCTCTGATTTACAAAGGGAGTATTTTGAGAGCAGGTCGTGGTGTGATCTGATGTAGGCTTTTAAACTTGACCTCTAAGAGAGGAAACCAAACCCACACAAAAGAGCTGGTTTGTCTTAGTGGGTGATGAATCTGAGCCGCTCAGAAATTACAACTGCAACACATTCACACCATTCACCCGGTGACTTGAGACTTTCTCTGGGTCCTTGGATGACCTGTGAGTTGCTTTCCATAATGCCATTAATCAGTGCCCTGGAAACCAATTAGTGAGCAAAGGAGCAGCCCTCCACCTGGCACCTTGTTTTTTTTAACGCGGTGTAAAGTGTATGTGGGTTCTTTGGTTGTTTTCAAGTCCCATGAGAACACCAAATAAGCCGACTTGGCACCCCATGAAAACGTTGGGTGGAGGGTCGGATGAAGAAACACAGAGGATGTTTGAAAGGTATTTCAAGTTGCAACCCAGTCTGATTGTGCTTTCAGCTTGCCATGCTGTCAATCTCCCCCAGACTGTTGGGTGCTGTTGCATCAGTTCCGATTCATAGCAACCCCTGGACAACAGAATGAAACCCTGCCCGGAACCACACCAGCCTCACAACTAGTATGTTTGAGCATTGTTGCAGCCACCGTCTGCCCAGGCCGGGGGGAGGGGGCTCTTCCTCTTTGGGGTGCCCCTCTACTATACCAAGCATGTGCCTTTTCCAGGGACTGGCCTCTCCTCATAACACGTCCAAAGTACATGAGACGAAGTCCCATGTGACTGCCACCTGGACACTCTTGCAAAGCAAGGTCGCTAAGGGAGTAACTTTCCAAGCTCACAGCTACTGCATCGAATCCAATTTATAACGATCCTATAGGGCAGGGTGGAACTGCCCCGTAGGGTTCCGAGACTGTGAATCTTAGTGGGAGTAGAAAGCCTCTTTCTTCTGCAGAGCAGCTAGTAGCTTCAAACTGCTGGCCTTGGGGTTAGCAAGCCAACTCATAAGCCCTCATCCCCCCACACACTCTCCTTGCAGGAACAAACAAGCATGTACCTCCCCCTCCCCACTAGAAATCACAAACCAGTCAGCAGTGGAAGCTCCTGGAAGGAGGCACTGCTTGGTGAGGATGGGGCCACTGAGAGAAGACTGATCTGCCTGCAATTCAGGCCTCAGACCACAAGGAGTCAGTCTGAAGCATGGGCTACCTCTGGCATCTGCACCCCTAACAGCTCTGCTGGAGCAAAGTCCAAAGGAGAAAACTCAAGAATATTGGCAATACCGCTCCCTGGGGCACTTTACCCTGCGTTATGGGACAGAGTGCACATGTTTCTAATTGTTGTTTGGGAACAGGGGGCTTGGGAACCTATGGTCTAGCTCCGGGGTCGGCAAACTTTTGAGAGAGGAGAGTCAATCCTATTCCTCACAAACATCTAAGAATTATTCAAGAGTCATGAATACATTGTCACAAACAAATGAAATCACTATGATCTGAATAACCGCCTTTAAATTTTTCCAATTCTACTTTGGAGCTACATGGCTCTTACGCCAGTTTGCCAACCTCTGGTCTAGACTCTTACATCAAAATGTTCTGAGCAACCATTCAGGAAATTTAATAATTTTAAATGATAATGTTTTGAAGGACTGTCTAAATCAACCAAAGCTACAAATATTCCTCTTTCTTAAGGACAGTTGTGATTTAAAAATGTTTTGGGGCAAAAAAGATACATTAGGATAGAAAATGACTTCACTTTAATACCAAGGTTTATGACAGTCGAGGTGTTTAGAGACAGGACATCTCACTGGCGACACTGAACACACAGGTTCTTAAAAAGGATGTAATTTTTCTTCAGGTCATGAATAATCACTGGAGATTTTGCCCACAATTTAAAGCACACTGCAGACACACCAGATTACCTCTCAATGTGAAATGTCCTAGCAGTCAGGGGAAGGAGGTGGCAGATGAGGCAGAAGGAGGAGGATTAAAAAGGTCACTTCACTTCTTTTTTTTTTTGGGGGGGGGTGTCAGTAAGCTGATAATGAGGAAGGAAGATGCATTGGCCTTAGCCCCAGACCAACCCACAGGGTGGCAGCAAGCTGATGAGAGGGCACAGTGCCCCAAAGTCAGACAAAGATCAAAAGGCAAGAAAACAAAAGATCTTAACAACAAACATACAAAGGTAAAACAAAAAACAAAATAATAAAAAGAAACCAAGTCAGGTACACAGGTCCAACAGAGGACCGAAGCAATGAGAGAAAAAAGAGGGAAAGAAGTGAGCAAAGAAGGGGGGGAGGGGCGGAGGCGTAAGGAAAGGGAGAGAGGGAGGGGGAGATGGGGGGAAAAAATACAGGCAGGCAAAAGCTCTGCTGGGAACACTTCTGTCCAAAAAGACAGAGAACACTTTCTAAAACAATGTTTTACAGCAAGGAAGCTCTAAGACAGCTGTACATTTCTTGTTGCCATCAGCACGATTCCCTCTGTGGTTCCGACGTGGCGGCAGGTTCTGTGTGATTCATGCTTGTGGGACGGGGGGAGGGATCCAGTCCTGGTCACGAAAATGAAAGTCTGCAAAGCATTTTCACTTAGTATGAATTCCAAAAAAAAAGTTTATTACTAACAAAAAACTGCAAATGCTCATTTTTCTGCACATCAGGCTGTCGCTGCGCTGACATGACTGCTGAGAGCTGTTACCAGCGCATCCGCTGTCAGAGGCCAGCCTGGCTTCGGGGCAATCATTCTTCACAAAAAACCAGTCACATCACAGGGCTGTTGCCACAGCTCCCGGTGCAGGTGGCAGAATGGCGATGTCCTCTGCCAGAGAAGAAACGTCCACTATTGTCCCTTGCCCCTGCCTGGAGCCTGGGCAGCCCGCTGCCTCGGCCTCAATACATGGCTCGGGGGTTCTTGGTGCTGTAGTGTGCCTCGCAGGCAGCGACGTAGGCAGACTCCGGGAAAAAGTCATCATGATACTCCGCCAGAAACCTGCAAGAGGACGAAACAGCCTTGGTGAACATCAGACTCAGGGCGGAACTCCACAGAGCCAAAGCACCACCTCTGAGCACTCCAACAGGGGGACATCTCGGGGTCAGTGTGCTGCCTGCAGTCCTCACCTGCCTCTGACGTCCACGGAAAGATTCTGCCCGAATCCTGGCACCCAAGCTGCCAAGTTAACAGTTAACAGTTTTGATTATGTAAACACTTGTGTGGAAAACCGAATACCTGGAAATGTCTGCAAATAGTTCGCACGTCTTGTTATTAAAAGCCAAGTATATAAAACACAGATTGTGAGCTCAATAAATGGAGCCTATGCAGGCTACATGTAAAGCCACCCAGAACAGAATACATACCACTGGCCATTTTTGTCCAAAGTTGCCCAGCCAGATGTCCCAGCCCCAGTCTACAGGAGCAGAGCACACAGAAGCTGGGCTTGGAGAGTGAGCAGACTTCTGTTCAAATAGGGCACTGCCCCTTCCTGATCCCACAGCACTATAGGATCTCACTGAACCAGATTTTACGGCAAACAGAGTTAGGGCTTTGTTTTGGGGGGAGGATGACAAAGAAGAGGCATCCGGTACTTTTGAAACGTGCTACAATAAAATGTTTTAAAGGCTAATTCCATTCACCATAGCTGTAATATTACATGACAGTGTCTTTTAAAACTCCCAACGCCACTTGGTGCGAGCCAAGGGCAAAGGTGAGCAAGGCCCCTAGACACCGAATCTGAAAAGCCAAAGAGAGGTCAGTAGGGATGGGAAGAACGAGAAAGCTGGGCCAGACAGCCCTGGGGCCAATCACCTGGAGAGACCCAGACAACGAGCTGGGGCAGAGGTTGGATAGAAGGGGTCTTGTCCTGCTCGAAAGGTTTCTCAAGGTGGCCGATGAAAACAAACAGGGGTCAGAAGTGACCTGGAAGAACGTGGACCAGGATGTCTACAAAGTAACAGAAGTGGTCTTAACTGAGCTGCAGTGGCAGGAAGAGAAAGACGGGACAGATGAAGACCGCACTGTTCCCACACCTTGTTCATCTGGGTATAAACCAGTCCACTGGGAAGGAAGGGCCCACACACACAGGACTGGGCACCAGGATCAACTCCAATCCTGGCGCTGGTTGCTCTGAGGCTAGCCAGGCCCTGGGATTAAAAACAAAAAGGGCAAGCACAGGACCACTGTGTTCAGATGAACAACCAAACAGAAGACCGAGCTGCAGAGCCATGGCTCACGAGTACTGGCTCACCTTTTGACACATACGCAAAGCATTAAAACCAAGTGACGTGATTTCCAGGATGAAACCGGTGCACGAACCAGAACCCTCAGCAGACCCAACAGCACCCCTTGTGCTGCTCCAGTCCAGAGGCTGCCCTCTCGGGGGGCCACAAGCTAAGGACGGGAAGCCAGAGATGCAAAGACCCTTCTTTGTCAATTAGACCCTCGTGTCATGAGAAATAGTAAAGTCCATAGGGCCAAAAATAGTTTTGAAGAAAACTGCTGTCTAGGGGTGCCCTCAAGTCGATGCCAACACCTACCACCTTCATGTGGCAGAACAGAATGGCCTCAGGGTTTATCAGGCTATTACTTTATCATTTTATTGGGGGCCATACAACTCACACAACTCGTATCACAATCCATACATACATCAATTGTATAAAGCACATTTGTTCGTCCCTCATCATTCTCAAAACATTTGCTCTTCACGTAAGCCCCTGGCATCCGCTCCTCATTTTTCCCCTCCCTCCCTACTCCCCCCTCCCTCATGAACCCTTCATAATTTATAAATTACTATTTTGTCATATCTTGCCCTGTCCGATGTCTCCCTACACCCACTTTTCTGTTGTCCATCCCCCAGGGAGGAGGTTATATTTAGATCCCTGTAATAGGTTCCCCCTTTCTACCCCACCCTGCCTCTACCCTCCTGGTATCGCCTCTCTCACCACTGGTCCTAAAGGGATCATCTGTCCTGCATTCCCTGTTTCCCAGGCTGTTAATTTTTGTGAGAGCAAATTGCCAGGTCTTTTCTTCTGCTTAATTTTTGCACTTTGTGTGGATCATAAGAAACCAGGGATAACCTTAAGAGAAATGGGAATTCCATCGTGCTCATGATGAACCTGTACAGGGATCAAGAGGCAGTTGTGGGAATAGAACAAGGGGACACTGCGTGGTTTCACATGAGGACAGGTGGGCGTCAGGTTGCATCCTCGCACCACACCTACTCAATCTGCACGCTGATTGCAGAGAAGCTGGATTAGACGAAGAAGGATGTGGCATCAGGATGGGAGGAAGGCCTCTTAACAGCCTTGTGCTTGCTAGAAGTGAGAAGGACTTGAGGCACTTGCTGATGAAGATCAAGGATTGTAGCCTTCGGTGTGGATTACAATTCAATTCAGCGTGAAGAAGACCAAAATCCTCAAAACTAGACCACTAAGTAACATGACGATCAATGGAGAAAAGGCTGAAGTTGTCAAGGGCTTTGTCTTGGTTGGCTCCACAACTGATGTTCACCGAGGCAGCAGTCAAGAAACCGAAAGATGTACTGCATTAGGTAAACCTGTTGCAGGAGACCTCTTTAGAGGGCTGTTGACAACCAAGGATGCTACTTTGAGAACTAAGGCAGGCCTGACCCAGCCATGGGATTTCTAATACTTCATAAGCATGTGACAATACGACAGTGAAGAACTGAAGACCGAAGAAGAACTGGCGCATTTGAATAGTGGTGCCAGAGAAGAAGACTGAAAGTACCGCGGACCGCTAAGAGGACAAGCCGATCCGTGTTGGAAGAGGTAAGGCCAGAGTGTTCCTTAGAGGCAAATTGGTGAGACTGTGTCTTAGAGACTTTGGACATGTTGTCAGGAGAGACCAGTCCCCAGTGGACGTCGCGCAGGGAAAAGCAGAAGACCCTCCAGGAGATGGACTGACAGTGGCTGCAACAATGGGCTGAGGCATGGGAACAATTGTGAGGGTGGTGCAGGCCCAGGCAGTGTTTCGATCTGTTCAAAGTAAGGTCCCGACGAAATGGGACCTAATACCACCACCACCACCAAGAGGAACCACCACCTTTGTGCTACTGCCATTCACAAAAGCATGCGGGAAACAAGGGTCCTCCAGGCGATCCATTACTTACCTTTTATTTCAGGAACTTGGCGAGTACTTAGAACTGACAAGAGTATTTAATGCCTACATGCAATGCCATCTCCAGATCTTAAACTAAGCCTGCTCTGTAACAACATGACTGGCTCTGTCATGTGAGGTAAACGATACCTTCCTGTGAATGAATCCCGCAGGCATTTTTCTTCATAATACAGCGAACACCAAAGCCCACCCTGGAAACATTCAAGTGGAAGCCAGTTTATGTAGACAAAGAGTAAACGTCCAGTGCTTAAGGCTGAAAAAGGAAGATGTCAGGCGGTCAAGGGCATTTTGGAGAAAGGCATAAAATTACCTCAGAAAGAGATCAAAGTGCTTCAGTAAAGCCTTCAAATTCTTCTCGGAGAAAGACATCTTCCCAAGGATTTCTGGAAGTTTTACTGCATTGGTGGGAAAAGGGAAAAAAAAAACAGGCAAAGCATTTGCATTGTATCCCAAATCCTAAAAATGTGCAACATGCACTCTGGAATCATCTGTTTCCTCCTGAGCCTGACCAGAATGGACACTACACGTAATTCATGTTCGTGGAGTCGCTTCCAACTCTCATCACCCCTTAAGAATGGAGAAGACCTGCCGCAGACGGTTTCCAAGGATGCAAATGTTTAAGGAAGCAGACAGCCTCGTGTAACCCTCCCTAGAGCAGCTGGTGGTTTCGAAGTGCTGGGAACTTTCAGTTAGCCTGACGCTTAACCACCAGGGTACGCCAGGGATACAGAGAGGTACAAATGTAACAATTCACTTGGCACAAAATCTGATTCATTCAGTACCTGGTCTTTGAAGAGGTCATCTTAGACCTGAAAATACCCACATCCATTGGATGCTTTGAGTCTAACTCATACAATGTACAGAAACACACAAGACTAAGGCACATCTTCACAGGACCAAACGGGAGGCAGGGTACAGGAGCCAGGACTGCTTACCAAACATGCGCAGCAAATGCTGTGAGCCGTAAATGTAGGAGGGTGGAGGCGGCTGGTCACCAGGGGGGAAATTGTCCGGGACAAGCTTCCAGGAGAGGACCTGGGGACAGCAGGGATGGATACGTCCGTTAGCATGTTCCTAACACCCCATGACCTGCTGATTGCAGACTCCAGAGAAATAACGAGGCTTTGTCCTTCTTAAGGAGCACTGGTGGCACGGGAGGTTAAGTGCCAGGATGCCAACCAAAAGGGGAGCAGTTCAAAGTGCTCCTGTCAAGGTGGTCAACTGGGAACCCCTGGGGGCAGCCCTACTCTATCTTGTTGGGTTGCCGAGTCGGAACCAACTCAATAGGGGGGGGGTTGGGGTTTGGTGGACCTTCTCCAGCTGATAGAGGGTCATGTTCCCCACTACCCCAGGACCCATTCTTTGCAACTTAGATGGCATCACGACTGAACCAGAAAATGGGAGGAGACTGGTAACACTATGGATGGGAGTGACAAAGCTACTACTCCCGACATCGCCAGTGTGTAAGATCTGCAGGGACCGACAGTAGGTAGGGTTCCCGTCAGAGAGGATCAAACTAGGAAGCAGGGAAGTGCAGTGGACGCATGTAATATATGACTATGAGATACAGCTATCACAGAAGAAACACCAAAAGTTGTATGCCAAGCTCTTGACCCACGGAATCCAGGAACAGGAATGGGAGGAGGGATACCAGGAGGGTAGGAGGAAGGTGGAGAGAGGAAGGAGGCATCAACACATAACCACCTCCCCCAAGGGGGGCAAACAACAAAAACCGTGGGGGGGAGACAGTGGTCAGTATAAGATATGAAAATAATTTATCATTTATCAAGGGGTCGCCAGGGGGTAGAATGGGAAAAAAAGAGGAGCTGATATCAAAGGCTCAATAGAAAGTAAATGTCTAGAAAATAATGATGGCAACATATGTACAAATATGCTTGATACAATTGATGTATGGATTGCAATAAGAGTTGTAAGAGCCCCCCAATAAAATCTTTTAATAAAAATAAGTAAAATAAAATGCAAAAAAAATGTTAAGCTCTCATTTCTTACTAACAAAAGTATGTATTTGTTTTCTATGTAGTTTATAAAATAAGTACTTCCATATACATTTGTTTTCCTTGATCATTTTTTTTCTCCAAACTTTTCTCTTTTAAATCTGCGATGGGCAGTTTGATCCGGCTACAGACACTGCTGGCCGGTGAACAATAAGGACAGTGTGTGTGTGTGTGTGTGTGTGTGTGTCTCTGTGTGTGTCTGTGTGGCTATGCCCCATAGCCAATGATATAAGCTGACAAGAAGAGAAGGCAGGGGAGAACGTAATATGAGATGAAGAAGCTAGCTGGTTTCCTCACTGAGCAGTAATGACCTAGAAAACACGGAGCCCTTTGGCCCTGTCTGTTCTCTAGGGAAGCTCTTGCCAGGTGAAAGAAGGAAGCAATAGAAAGTAGCCCAGACCAATATCACGGCGCATGGTGCCCATGAACTGTTGAATAGGAATCTAATTTGTGGTGTGAACTTCCATCTGGAACACAGTATTGCCAAAAATAATAACCAAAAGATGTTTTTTTAATACTGCAGGTAAGCCTGCAAAACGTGGAACAGGTAGGAACCTGTCAGAGAAGGAAATCACAAATGTCTTCCACTGAAACAAGGGATCAAAGAGCAGTCAGGCCGTGCCACCTCAGAGGCAGGCAGACAAGGCAGCCTCACTGGCCTCTCCCAGGCGGCCCAGGGATTCCCAAGGTTTCAAGATTCACGCATTCTCTGTGGAAACGAACTGGGCTTTTTGTGACCTGCTCAAGCCACTACAAATAAGACTTTGAACATGATAGCTGCTGTTTCCAGTCCATCATTTTGAATTCTGAACCAGAAGCTGCCTCAGAAGGGTACTGTCCCCCAAACTTATAACCTGAGGCTGTGCCAGTGGATCTGGAGACTTGTCAAGTGTCAGGGCAACATTGCAGGGTCTACAGAAGCCCATACAACAGCCCCACGCAAACAATTCGGAGTAGGCATTGCTGCACAACATGAAGAGTATGATGAATGCAACTGAATGACACAGGTAGTTGTTGAATGGAGAATGTTTTGTGTATGTGTGCCAAAATTGAGGGGGGGGGAATACACCAATAGCAATGAATATGGGTAAGAAGAAAAAGTTCTAGAACTGATTGTGGTAATCATTGTACAACTCTTTTTTTTCAGGGGGGTCAGGGAAAGAGTTGTTATTTTTTTTTATTTAATCATTT